AGAACGTTGGATTAATCGTAGTCGGCAATCGATATGACCTCCACACTCTTACGACATACCTCATATGGATTTATTCTTGTGAGGCTTAGTGAAGCAACACGTCTTACAGACACAGCCTGCCGCCCTGAACGAGTTGAAAGACAGGGTTGGTTCCGTTCTTCACAACATTTCACATTCGATTCTTGCAGCAGTGACACGCGAAGTTCTGTATCGTATAAAACACTCCATTCTCACATAAGTTTTAAGTTGACTAACACACAGATTACACTAAATTTTGTTAAAGTCGTTTAAGTGTCTTTTTCGTGCGTAAGTTGCAATATGTCCTCTTTCCCCAATTGAAAGCGACTTTTTGGCCACACTGTAAAATAGTTTCTTTACGAAATAAAATTTACAAAGCACATATTAAAAATGCTTACTGAATATAATATATTCAATTAACAGGATCGTTAAAATATCAAAAATTAAATTTTGTTTTGAAATAACGAAGCATATAATATATTCTATTGTGGTATTTATCGATCAGAATGCTTGCAAGTATTCTGCATCATAAATTATAAGTTATTTTGTACACGTCTCTATTCCTGTTATTGTTATTATACGTGGAATGTTCTCTTAAGACAAAATAAAATAAATTATGACCACTGTAAACATCATGTACAGTACTCTTACATATATGTCATAACTAAAATATATTAAAAATGTATAATGTGATATTGAAAAATGTTTACTTCCTTGTTTAAGACTGACACAGTTAATATTCTATTCACTTTCATGCCGTGTTACCTAGTTGAAGCATTATTCGTTCCTGTATGACTGAAATTATTGCGTCACTGACAAACAAGATTCAATATTAATGGTAAGTTTTACAATATGTTTTCCGAGTAAAAGACTGACAGAATTCATAACATAATTTTGAAAATAAAATCATGTTACGAACGTGGCTTACATGAAAAAAATCTTTGTAAAATGCAGTATATAAGTGTAGTGGCGTGTTAAAATACGAATTCAATTCCTTCCTACACGGTGTTCGAATTCCATAATTTGAGTTCCAAAGCAATTTTTTCCATTAAAATAATGTAAAGTGAATTAATTAATCCCTTCATAAATTCCCAAAATGCCAATTTGAATCTTTTCTTCACCTCCAACGTGCAGCGATCTAAGAAATTGATGAAAATTATAACAAAATTTTAAAAAATAATATTTTAATAATTGCATAATAATTTTTTTTTGAATAATTTTTAAATTATTCAAAAAAAAATTAGGTCCACCGGTGGCAGGGTGAATAAAACTACGACATTGAGTTAAAATTCTATGTGGCGTCATCTGTTATATAATTTTATTAAAAATATCATTATAAAGAAGCAAACAAGGCTTAATTTTGAGGATAAAGACGAGTTAATTTAGTTTGTTTTGTTAATTTACGGCAACACAACACTTCGGCAATATGCATAAGGGAGATAGGGGAATTATTTTAAGGGTAACTGGCCCCTATTTAGCCATTGAACACGTAGAGAAAACTCAGAAAATTCTACGTGGCCAGCCCGTCCTGGCAAGGCGCGAACCCACGACAGAACTCCCAGTATTCAGGGAACAAAATCGCTTGGCCACTGGTGGGCCCCGAATTAATTTAGAGAACTGCAAATGCCAATTACAGCAAAACTTATATCTTGAGTGGGGTAAGACATAATGTAACATTCCTCTATCTTCCCATGAAAATAAAATTTTGAATTTTTCAAAATTTCAGTAATATTGTTGTTTGCATTAATTCTTCCATTGTTATCGCACATAATACGAAGTATGCAGCACACAGTTACAATACACAACTATTTTTTAACATAAGAACGGTTTATATAAATTTGTACGTACACTAAAGTCCACAAAATTATGAGAAATTGTTATATTAATAATTAAAAAAATATATATCAGAAATGAAATATGTATTATATAATGTACAGACAAACATTTACAAGAGAAATCAGAATACTTTATATTTATAATCGAATAGCAAAATTCCATAAACATTTTAAAATATAAACGTACATATGATTCCAGGATCACATTGATGCATTCTTCTGTAACATTCCGTAGAGTTTTGTGGCAATTCTTTAAAATAATTTCATTTAATATTTCTACATAATCGATAACTATAAGGGTAGGGGCGGATCTACATGGGGACTAATAGGACTTAATCCCTAGGTTTCCAAGTGTCAAGGGCCCACAAATATTAAATTATTATTATAAAATTTTAAAGCTTTTAATTAACAATAGGCATTTATCGTCATTCAACACCATTTCATAAAAAAATATATTTCATTTTAAGCTTTTGATGTTATTAAAAGTGAATTTTAAACCCAATTTAAATATTCTTAATCTAACAAAAAAAAGCCCGGAAAAATTAGATCCGCCCCTGTATAAGGGCCACCAGTAGTCAAATAGATAAAATCAACTAACACTAAAAATTGGACGTGAATTCGCACCTCTGCCAATGGATTGGCCACATGTAGTTTTCCATGTATCCATGTTCGTAACACTTAAATAGGTGTTACGAACCATAGAAAGTCCCCTGGACATATCATCCACGTGTTGCGTTGCTGTATATAAATAATCCAATCAAATCCGAAAACAGTAAAATTACTTCTTTAATAGAGATATATTTAATAAAAAATTTACTTTGTTTTATTGGTTTTTAAGGGCACAAGGGCCTCTTTGGTCAAGCTGTGCCAACAACCTGGTTATGCAGTCATACAGGATAAAAAAAAAACAAAAGATATGTATGATAAAATTATTAATAACAACTGTAAGACGTAACAAAAGTAACGTAAAAATACTAAAAGCGTGATAAAAATCATCCAACAAAAACAAAAAGAGTATTATTTTTTTTTATTTTTCAAAAGACACTGTGGCCAGGTTGGCCTTTTTCAAGCATCTTAACAGTTAATCAAAGGGTAGGTAAAAAATAAAAAAGGGTAGGTAGAGTAAAAAATAAATATAAGAAATGAAGCGTAAAACGCAGAACACAACACAGTTAAACTTGGATTAAAATAATAAAACAAAGTTATCATACGAGGGGGGACCAAAAAAAAACCAAATTGAGAGCGCACTGCCATCCGTAGACGTACTGTAGTAGAGAGTTCTCCCGTTAGATAGGGTTAGTAGAGACCTTCACGAAACAGCTGTGCAGACAGCATCAGTTTGTAGGTTAACGTTTAAGCGTAGTGTTGTGTTTCTCTTGATGACGGACTCTTCTAGGATTCGAGGCGTCGGCCTGGTAGATTATACTGGAAATTTATTACATCGGCAGGTTCGTTGCACTCTTGACTATGGGCGTTAGCCTTTTTGTAGACTCAACTAGAATATGTCCTGTTAGGCTAGGACTCCACTACCGTAAAAACGGCGTAAAAACCCCTCGACGTAAAAGCTTTTAATCACGTGACCCAGATATCTTACGCTGGAGCAGGCCGTAAAACCAGCGTAAAAGCGAGTTGAGCTATGTTCAACTTTTGACACGAATACGACCGTAAAACGGTACCTTCAACCAATCAGAAGTCAGTGGAACTACGTCATCGTGACATCGTGCAAAAATTGCGGGAAACAAGCTTTTGTATACGTTCTATCATGGCTTCTTCGAAAAGACCACGAATTGATTTGGAGAAATTTATTGAAAATATTCGTAAATATCCATGCTTATATGACAAGAGGCATCCTGATTACAAGAATGTTTGCCTAAAACATGCGATATGGACGGCCATAGGAAAGTCCTACGATTTAGGTGAGTACATATTAAAAAAGCTAAGCCTAGCATGCTAACAATAGTATCTTAATAATATGATATTAAAGATATTTTTACTAAATTTGTAATTATAGTAAAAAATCGTAGAATATAATCATTGTCTTTTTAAAGATGTATCACATATACAATTTTATATTGTACAGTACACACACAGTTTTTTACTTAAGTGGGGTTTCAGATAATTCCTTTTTTTTTCTTTATATTATTACAAATTTTAATTCATTTAATTAATATCCAATATGCATTTTAGACTGCTCTATTTGATTATCAGTCCCTCTTCAGATGTGAATTATTATTATTAACAATATTTCTATATTATCTACTTAAATAATAATATAAAATATACAGTTCTTAAAAAATTAATTATAAAATATTGAAATATTTTTTTCTACTTTATTACATTTTCTTTCTTGTGACAATTCTTTCTTTTTTTTATTCATTCTGTTTCCAAAAAGTTTTTAATTGATTTTATTTTAATATAATAACTCATTATTCAAAACAAACTCTCATTCATTTTAACAATTAACATTTTTTTCATGAGAACATACAATCCTAATCTTAATTCATTAGAAATCCATTAATACTTTCTCTTCTTAACTATCATAATCTGGACAACTAATATGATTCAAATATTTACAAATGTTTTTTGCAATACTGTGCCTGAACAGTCATTTATTCTTTTTCTTTAATTTAATTAGTTCCAAATATTCATATTTCCTTTTTATTGTTTTTTTCCCTTTTAATTATTTTTCTATATGAATTCCTTTTATTATTTCACAATCATTTAAGTTTTAGTGTTTTACAACTGCTGAATTATGATGATTGTATTTAATTATGGTTATATCCCATGTGTTCATTTACAAGTTTTTAATTTTCTGTTTGTTTACCTATATACAAGTATGTCACTGGAATTATACAATTACAGTTAAATTTATATACTAAATTATTCTGTTCTAAAATTAAATTTTATTATATTTGAGTGTGTTGTCAGAAATGTATCAAGCAATAAATTAGTTGAGTATGATATGGATTATTTTTCTATTGTATTTTAGTGCTTAAAATGCATGTGATTGAATGAATAATGAAAAAGTTGTACAAAAGCTTCACTTCTATAAACTTTTTATGTTACAGATGCTTCCAGTGCTGAAAGCCGCTGGAAAACGCAGCGCGATCGGTACACAAGGGAGAATAAAAAAGTGGAAGACAGCAAAAGAAGTGGAAGTGGTAGGGATGACATATATGTATCACATTGGTACTTATATAATGTCATCGATGGGTTTATGAGGCGCTGTCCTCAAACAAATGAAGAGTAAGTATTTTAGGTTAAAAAAGAATACATTTTATGGGTGATGGAAGAATTTTTATATTCAATTTTGTATAAATACAGAACCATCAACAACATATCACCAGCTTTACCAGCAGAAGACCAACCAGAAGATGTTCAGCCTCTTTATGCTGAGGCAGTAGAGTTTTCCTGTCCCAGTGACAGTGAAGTATTTCTTCCTGGGTAAGCACTCCAATAGTTATTCACTGATTGCCTTTTGCCTTTTTACCTACTCTTGCTTTTTACCTGTTATAGGCCTGCATCAGCATCATCAGCATCATCATCATCAGCATCATCACAATTACCAGTGGAAACTTCAGAGAGCAGGTACTGTACATACATTCAGTCTGTACTACTCTAAAGCTTTTTGTTTGTATGTTATTTGTGATATATACTTTGTACTTTACAGCATTTCACATTTAAAACATGGCAGAAAAAGTGATCCACAAATGGAAGAATTATTGGCAGTATTTAGAATGTCTGCTGAAGCCATGCAGCAAGCAAATGCTGCAATACAAAAAAACAAATCGCATATAAAACCGTTCTGCGAGTTTGTTGAAAGCATGCTGGCCAAAATGAGCAGCAAAAATCAAAGAACGGCAATGAAAAAAATTCAGGACATTCTTTTCGAGATCGATGCCGTGAATGATGAAGAGAATCAGTAAATTACATAATGAATTCAATAGATCAATGTAATTTATTTAATTAATTTTGCTATATTAATAAATTTTTTTTGAAAACCTATATTTGTTACAATGTCTTTAAAACACAAGAGTAATAAAAATAATTCTTTATTGAACCTTAGTAATAAAAATATGATAGTCTATTGCCTATGGCAAGATCCAGTGGTACATAGATAGTCTGCTAATTTATTCCTCAATTCTCTTGCTTCAGTAGAGTACATGTTGCTTGCTACCTGTGTGCAACTTCTCATTTGATCATCTGTTGCTCTCCACCTCCCTGGGATAAGGTTGCCATGTTCATCTTCAGAATCACAATCTCCAGCATTAATGTAACAAGCTGACTCTCTTATAAAAAAAATTGTGTAAGATGCAAGCTGCCAATACCATCTTTGTCGTGTTATCTTCACTGTATGTTAATGGTCGTTTGAAGATTCAAAAACGACAACTTAAAATGCCAAAAGCATTTTCCACTACTCGACGAGCACGACACAGTCTATAGTTATAGACTCGTTGTGATTGGCTAATAGCTGAGCGTCTGGGATATGGTCGCATCAAATTTCTNCTTCACTGTATGTTAATGGTCGTTTGAAGATTCAAAAACGACAACTTAAAATGCCAAAAGCATTTTCCACTACTCGACGAGCACGACACAGTCTATAGTTATAGACTCGTTATGATTGGCTAATAGCTGAGCGTCTGGGATATGGTCGCATCAAATTTCTTTTTAGCGGGAAAGCTTCATCACCAATAAAATAAAAAGGAAACATAATTTCAGAATTTGGCAAGTAATCGTCATTAGGCAAGTTTAATCTGCAGGTTTCCATCATTTGGCCAAACTGAACTTTTCTAAATATTCCTCCATCACTCTCGCTTCCATAGTGTCCATAGTCTATATACAAAAATTTATAATTNAAAACGAGAACTTAAAATGCCAAAAGCATTTTCCACTACTCGACGAGCACGACACAGTCTATAGTTATAGACTCGTTGTGATCGGCTAATAGCTGAGCGTCTGGGATATGGTCGCATCAAATTTCTTTTTAGTGGGAAAGCTTCATCACCAATGAAATAAAAAGGAAACATAATTTCAGAATTTGACAAGTAATCGTCATTAGGCAAGTTTAATCTGCAGGTTTCCATCATTTGGCCAAACTGAACTTTTCTAAACATTCCTCCATCACTCTCGCTTCCATAGTGTCCATAGTCTATATACAAAAATTTATAATTGGCATCTGCCACTGCTAGCAACACATTACTAAATGTTCCTTTGTAATTAAAGTTTAAACTTCCACTATTTTTTGGACAAACCATCAACACATGTTTTCCATCAATGCTACCGCAGCAATGTGGCAATTGCCAAGCTTTTAAAAAATTTTCTGCAATACCTTTCCATTCATTTGGTGTTGAGGGAAATTGCATGCAGTCTGATTTTAAGTGAGTCCAAAGAGCATGGCAAGTTTCTGGAACAATTTTTGCTATTGTTTGTCTTCCAACTCTAAAGGCAAATGACAAACTTCTGTACGTTTCCCCTGATGCTAAAAATCTAGAAAAATACATGATAAAATGAACTTTTTAAACCAATTAAAACAGATTAAGCTAGTCAGTTATTAGCTGTAATCATATAAAATGTACCTTAAAGTTATTCCTAAGAGTTCTCTGGCTGAAATTGCTTCTCTAAAACATGTGTTCTGTTTGCTTATATAATTTTCCACTCGTTGTAATAACACCTCAAAGAGATCGGGTGTCATTCTTAAAAAACTGTCAACAAAATTCACGTTACTACTAATAAAACTTTTATGCATTATAAGATTTTGCTATAATTTTAATTTATTACTTACTCATAATAATATTCCTGGTCTTGAAAACTAAGTTCACGCGTAAGTGTATTGTGATAACCTAAGGAAAGTATTTACGTTCGACATTTGGGGCAGCACTGTCGCCGTAAAAACTTCGCGCTAGCCGGACCTCCACCGTAATCCGAGCTCAAACGCAAAAAGGTCACGTGATTAAAAGCTTTTACGGCGAGGGGTTTTTACGCCGTTTTTACGGTAGTGGAGTCCTAGCCTTACATCAAGAGATTTTAGCGTACTCCTGGTTTTGAGCGTTGGCCGTAGGAGACTCAAATATGTCCTCTTACTTCGAGAGATTTTGGCACACTCCTGGTTATGGGCGTTAGCCTTACGAGACTCAAATGGACTACGTGGGGACTAATAGGACTTAATCCCTAGGATTCCAAGTGTCAAGGGCCCACAAATATTAAATTATTATTATAAATGTTTAAAGCTTTTAATCAAGTCTTGTTTTAAGCGTCTTGTTACATCACGAAGGCTCGTCGCACTGTTTATTATGGGAGTAGCCTTTGGAGACTTGAATGAAATATGTCCTCTTACTTCGAGAGATTTTGGTGCACTCCACGAACAATGGGAAAGAATATTTTTCGCTGATTTCCTCCAATTAGCATGTAGAATTTTTCTATGAAAACAGGATGAGTGGNTGCCAATTTCAATTCAAAACATTCTAATTACTTCACCTACGTACATTTATACCAACTCTTCTACTCATCGTATCTTTGTCACTTATTATTATATATTTGAAATTAAAATTCGTGCATTGTCAAGTATGTATTCTGCTGATCAGCGATATAGATGTCTAGGGTTCCTTGTTCGTCCTACTTTGAATTGCATTAAAGTTTTTGGACTGGATCCTCTGATGCCGTGTCGATGTATAACAGAAAATAGAACTGTTATTTCTGAAAAAATTTTCAAAGTATATTGTGATCTGATTGAAGCATTCTTATGGTTTCTGTGTCTGAGTTACATAATTAATTTGCCCAATATCGACGTTTACTGTATAAGATTTTATTCATATTTGAAAGAATTTTCACATTTATGGATTGTGGTATTGATTATAGTTACATTCTACGCAGCAGTACAGTACAGTATTTTGAAAAGAAAAAAAATATCTCTTCATATTGTGAAAAGCTACAAGCAAGAATATGAATTGGTACAACAAATGGAAATTTTTCTATTTTGCATCATTTTCGGGCTACTTATAGCTTTCATATGGTGCTCCTTTATCGTAGGTTTGATAATGATAAGCGAATTAAGAAGACAAGATAGAAGCGCTTAATCTCCAGCAATCTCAAAAGCGTTAGTAAGGCAGTCATTTGCAGAACCATCTTTTCCTAGATGAAAGGCTTTTATACCTAAGTTAATCGAGGTTTTTATCTTTGATTTTCTTAAAAAGTATCCAAAGCGTACTTTCTTCCTTTGCTCAATAAAGGAAAGTACTAAATCTTATCCACAGAAACAACACTATTGAAATCCCATAAGACACGTCAGAACCTCCCCTTATAGGAATAGATATTCATTTGACACAAATTTTATTTATTAATACATTAGAGCGTCGATTATCCGAAAGAATTCCAGTCGGCAAATTTAAATTTTTGCCAATGCTGTGGCGCTGCAATCTTTGGCTATGTTTTGGGCTATTCAAATATTTTACGTTTATGATACTAAATTAACTTCTGAAGTATAATTTTTTATTGTTTTTATATTTTTCAATGTATTTATTTTGTACAAAATGAAAAAATAATTTTTAACGATACAATAGTCTTCATTAAGCTTAACATCAACGAAAATTCAACGCGAAGCGACACACAACGGAGAAAAAGGTCAAGATGGGATAAATTAATATATTTTTCGTACATAATCGGTTATCTAAAACATCGATCATCCGAACAACACCAGTCTCCAATTGATTCGGATAATCGATGCTCTACTGTATTAACATAAGTTTATAGTTTCATACAAGTTTATGAATAATCATTTCTCTTTTCAGGTTATTTTCACAACTTACCATTTGGGAATTCATTCTTATGAAGTCCATTTCTCACTACACCGAGTAAAAGTTTAGAGGAATTGCTATTCTAGTTCTTAAGTTCGTAATTTTGATATTTATGAAAGGCATTTTCGCTTATCTTCCTTTCGAATATGTGAGATAATTATTTGATATTGTGAAAATCTAATCAAGAAAACGAAATGACATTTAGACAGTACATAGAATTTAATAACAGTTATTGAAATGTAATAAAAACCATATTAATTCTTTTCACGTGAGTTAGATTTTACTTTCCAGTTCTGTTATATGCAACTGAGGCAAAGTATGGCAGTCGGTCAAAAAATGACCTTCCAAGATTTTTACATTTTTGCACTCGAATGCTTGAAACATCGGGAAATTAAAAAAAAACCGAGAGCTTTTTACTGTATGTATGGTGTTGGTCTGTGTATGGGGCACGATTTTGTTCACCCACAAGCTTAATAACTTCTGTGCTTTTTGTCGAAATTTCCTGAAATTTTGAAGATTCTTGCACAATACCCTTATGCAATAGTATGTTACTAAATAACTGAATTTCATTTTATACATTGAGTTGAGCAATCTGCATTCTTCAATTTCAGTTCGAGTGCAGGTATGGGATGAGGGAACGCAACACATGGGCGTCCTACAGAAACGGATAGCTGTTGGATGATTATCTACGTGCACTAGTTTTATTTTGGCATTAGACATGTTACGAAATGCCGAGTGCAAAACATAAGAAAGTTCTACGGAAAAAAGCATTTATTTCAGTATTAAAGAAGTGAAGAGATCGAGCTTAACTTCGCGTGCCTTAATCTGAAACGAACCCGCGACCACTGGCAATGTTCGGTGATTTTAATCACTCGACCATTGCTTGCCAATTTCAATTCAAAACATTCTAATTACTTCACCTACGTACATTTATACCAACTCTTCTACTCATCGTATCTTTGTCACTTATTATTATATATTTGAAATTAAAATTCGTGCATTGTCAAGTATGTATTCTGCTGATCAGCGATATAGATGTCTAGGGTTCCTTGTTCGTCCTACTTTGAATTGCATTAAAGTTTTTGGACTGGATCCTCTGATGCCGTGTCGATGTATAACAGAAAATAGAAATGTTATTTCTGAAAAAATTTTCAAAGTATATTGTGATCTGATTGAAGCATTCTTATGGTTTCTGTGTCTGAGTTACATAATTAATTTGCCCAATATCGACGTTTACTGTATAAGATTTTATTCATATTTGAAAGAATTTTCACATTTATGGATTGTGGTATTGATTATAGTTACATTCTACGCAGCAGTACAGTACAGTATTTTGAAAAGAAAAAAAATATCTTTTCATATTGTGAAAAGCAGCTACAAGCAAGAATATGAATTGGTACAACAAATGGAAATTTTTCTATTTTGCATCATTTTCGGGCTACTTATAGCTTTCATATGTTGCTCCTTTATCATAGGTGTGATAATGATAAGCGAATTAAGAAGACAAGATAGAAGCATGTCGGAAGCATTCGTATGCAATATTTATTACACATTGGGAAATTTTTACATACTTGGACAAATTGTAACAATAACTGTCCTGATTTTGTATTCTGGCATCTTTCTAATAAACAGATGCATGAAATTATCCGAAGAATACGAAGGAATGAAGATAAATGATTTATTTTTAAAGTATAAATTACAAAGATTTTTCGAAAAGCAAGTCGAAATTTGGCAATTTTTTAATCAAGCTAATGAGATTTACAAAGATCTTCTTCCATTAATGTATGCCTTCTTCATGCATATATGCTGTATCCTGATATACATTGCCATATTCGTAAATATGGCTCTACAAATAAAGCTTTATTTTCTTCTGGGATTTCCAGTTATTATATCAGGAGTATGTTCATTAAGTTGGGCATTATCATATTTCATGTCAACGGTAAGTTTGAAAATTGACATAAAATATTTAAATTCTTTTTAAACTTGAAGAAAAATGTAAAAAATATGGCCGACTGGATAAAATCGCTGAACACAAGCTGTGTCACGGTAAAGAAAACCGAAAAAACTCCATGTTGTCAGCGATTATGAGGCTTTAACTCTCGTTGTTCAATGGTTTTACCCGTTCGGCAAAAAGTGAATTCAGAAGAATTCAGCAAATGTGAATTATGTAACGATAAATTTTTTGTTTCAGTTGAATGACGACTACATGTCTATTTACAGACTTTCTCCTGCCAATTTGCCGGTAGAATTTAAACTAAAGGTAAAACTTTAATAATCCTACTTATCATTCAAATAGCATGATATTACTTTCCTACTCTTATGTATAACAGAGGGATGGTATGGCAATCGGTCAAAAACTAATCCCCAAATTTTTACGTATTTGAAATCAGCAAACCTTGAAACGTCGTGAAATGAAATAAAAAATTTTTCTGTATGTATGGATGTTAGTGTGTGGTGGCCACGCTTTTGTTCACACTCTTTAAAGCTTAATCACCCCTGGGCTATTAGTCGAAAATTCCTGAAATTTTGCGGAATGGTTTGTGTATTTGGCGGGTTGATGCTAATCAATTTTGGTAAATAAATTTTGGTAATTTGCAGTTTCATTTTAACAGTATTAACAAACTTTGAAGTAGTTTGTATGTTTTTAACATAGCGCACACAAGGTGGCCACAATTAAAGTTTTCCTGTTCTGAGCAATCTGTAGCTGATGGAAATAAGCGAAATGACACCAAAATTTGCATACAGATTATACAAAAATAATTTTTCAATTAAAAATTAGTTTAAACGCTTTTTCTAGAGGATACTTTACAGGAAAACACATATAATAATACACAGTAAACGATGAAGATTAATTTTAAAGTGATACTTTTGTGACCCGTGCCGAAGGGCCCCCTCTATTCTTCGGCACCACGGGACCGAAAGGTCGACATCGCGTCGGCGAAGACAGCAATGACAAATTTCCTCAGGACAGACACAGAAATCGTTATGTTCTCGTGCGAGTGGTTGTGTACGTGGGTTAGATTCAGATTGGAGACGAAAGAACTCTGAAAGAAATGCACTCCACAAGGTTATTCATTTAACAAATACCCGTTTAATTATAAAGACTATTTACAGGGTTATTTATCGCTAAGATTTACAAAGAGTGAAGAGGTTTAAACTTAACAGCTCGAGAGAGATAGTTTACAAAACCTTGGCGCGACGACAAATACCTGTAGTCCAGGCAGGTCTCCGATGATGGATCTTCGTCGAAGTGGAGTTCAGGTGCTTGAGTCCAGGTTGTGTTCAAGGTTTAATCCAAGTCACGTCAGGTTAGGTGTTTATCTCGGTTAAAGGTCTAAAAGAGGCGACGGCGAGACTCATACATACACACGAAAGTTTCACAACTAGGGACGGGAAAAGCTCCGATTATCAACACCCCGTCAGTTTTATACTCATTCTCTTCTGGGTTTTTCCCACTTACTCATTCGCAGCTTTAGTACGTTGGGTCCAATCAACGATTTTTACCCGTTGAGTTCAAGTGACACAGTTGATGTGTCACTCCCAACAAGAAACCAAGTCCGTGGGAGAGTTTAATCGCCGATTTAATCAGTAATTTTTTTGAAAAATGATCTGGATTTGAACAACAAAATATTATAATAATTAAAAATAATT